CCAGACTTTGGCCAGTTAATCGTGGATAGTCAAACCTTCAAATTCCACCGTCTCTACAACACAGAAAGATAGATCACTTCGCTTGCAAACATGAGGATAGATTCTAACTATAGGAAAAGAAAGCTTGTCAGTTAAGGAGGATAGAAGAGTAATTCATGTAGGAAATTATCAGAATGAGGAAAACAGTGCCTGTGCCTTGATTGTGAGAGACAATAAAAATACCAGAACTAGAGGAGTTTGAGAGTATGAGCTTAGAGTCAGCTGGAGTTCAAATCCTGATTGCTAGTCACTCCCGTAGTGACCTTGAGCAAGCCACTTCCCCTCTGTAAGTCTGAGTCTCCTGCTAACAACACATGCCTCACAGGTCCTTATTATGAGATTTAGTGAGATGCTTAGCATAAGCTTGGTATGTAATACATATTCATAAATACTGGTTATTATTATTAACTTAAATTACTGATTCATTCAGATCATTCAATGGTAAACAAATATTCCTTCCATAAAATCTTGCAAAATTCTGAAATTAGCCTGACAATTTGGCAGTGAGGGATATGACATTTTATGCATGTGAATAACTGATTTTGAGAACATCTAGAAATAGCAGGTAAGGGAAGGTGACACAGGGCTGATGAGATCAACAGCTTCTCCTGAGAGTTTCCAATACGCTTGTCTCTCTTATAAATGTTTTCAATGTGTTATCTCACTAAATCCTCATGAGGGGGGCATATAGCTCAAGTGGTAGAGTGCATGCTTAGCATTCACAAGGCCCTGGGTTCAATCCCCAGCACCTCCTCTAAAAATAAATAAGCAAACCTAATTACCTCCTCCACAAAATATTAAAAAATAAGTATATAAATAAATCTTCATGAGAATGTGGCTATTTATGTTCAATATTACATATGAGGAAACTGAGATTTAAAGATGTGCAATAACTTACAACTAAAATGTAAGCATTTGATTGTTAATGAATTAATATATTAATTTATCAATGTTAAATTAATATATAAATTAATATATAAGAATTTTAAAATGCATTAAAAGTTCCAGGGTAATAGGACTATTTAAACTCTGTGAAAGTATTTATACTGCCTCTAAAAAATTATTTTAAACACCTTGATATTATAAATATATTCCTTGTACAGATTTTTATGGTAATCAAGAATATGTAAATAACTAATGTCTCAAAGTCTGCAAGTCCCTATGTAATCTGTAATTCACAAGGTATGGATGAATAGGCTGACTCTAAGAAACTGATTTAAAGCACTTTCAAAAAGCATTTTACTGATGCAAGATCTCTCATTACAGAATATTTTGTAGTATCAGGAAACAGAGGCCAAAAAAAAAGGACACTATGAACTCATCTACAAAACAAAAACAGACTCATGGACATAGTAAACAATCTTATGGTTACCAGAGAAAGGGGATGGGAAGGGATAAATTTGGGAGTTTGAGATTTACAAATGGTAGCCACTATATATAAAAATAGATTTAAAAAAAATTAAGTTTCTTCTGTATAGCACAGAAAAAAAAAGAGGCCATTTTGATGTCCATCACTAGGTAACTGGATATGACTTAGAAAAAGCATAGAAGACAGATAGATAGACAGACAGAGACAGACAGACAGACAGATAAATATGTATCTCATAGATATTTTTGGATAAATGTATGAAAGAGGAGTTTTTTAAAACAGGAATTGAATAGCCAACAAAGGATGCCCATCCTGTACAAATGTGATTTAGGACAGGAGATTAAAGAAAGGAAAAACAACTACAAAACAGGGAGACTTGCACACACTGATGATGATAGCAGCCCATGAGCGGAGGAGGATGAACCTCTCATTCTGTGCCCAGAGGAGGAAAATAACACTGTTGAACTGGATTCAGCATTCCTCCTAGATTTGCCCTGTTGGTTATTGGGACAAACCCTTATTTGTTTCCAAGACATACAAAGATGAACTCTAGTGTTATACAACTGAATTTGCTTTGATAAGGAATGAGTGTCCTGTGACTTCGCTATCTAAAATACCTCCACCCTCCACTCCTCAGCCATTTCCGTCCTTATACTGCTCTATTTTGTTAACAACATTTATCCCTACCTGATACTATATTGCATATTTCTTCGTTGATGATCTGTCTTCCGAACTAGAACATGAGCTACCCAAAGGCAAAAGATTTCTCTGTTTTATTGCTATGTTCCCAGCATGGAGACAGTGCTTTTCTCAGAATAAGAACCAATGAACTTGAATCAGAGAGGACCACCTCTGATGATTTCTAAAGGAAAACTCTTCTTCTGTCTCTCTACCTTTCAATACAAGGCCCTTACAATGCCAATAGACCTGGCAATGGAGGATGAAATCAAGGACCATGAGGTTGACAAGCGGTCCCTGCAAAACTGCTCATTGTGACAAAATAGAGGAAACAAAGACTTGCTGGGTTCTCAGGATTATGTGATGGAATTGGAACATGTAAAATAAATTT